TCTTTGCCTCCATTTCAGTTTTCACGTCTTGCACCGTTTCCATTATCTGTTTGATTGTTTTTCCTTGGTTTTCTAGGGTATCATTCACTGATTTATTCAGTTCTTCAAACTTTCTGTTATATTTCTCATCCATTTCTATAAGGGCATTTTTTACATGCTGTTTAAGGGCGTCAATCACTTTCATGAAGTCAACCTTTTCTACTTCTTCTTGATTAAGGTGTTCATGTCCTCCCGTTGTGAGGTCGCTGGTTTCTGGTGGCTTCATGTTGCTTTTCAGCTTGTTGGGCGAATTCTTGCCTTGGCATCTACCCATCTCTTCTTCCAAATGCTCCCTTATGGATCTTCTTTACCGGATCAGGTCTCCTTGCCTACCCAATGCTGGATCTCCCCAACGTTGTCTCTCCCCAATGCTGGGTCTCCCCAAGGCTGGGTCTCCTGGTGCCGAGAGATCAGGCCTCCGTGCTGGTGGGCAGGTCGCAAACAAAGCACCTACCCTGCTTGGTGCAGGCAGGCCATAGAAACAAAGAGATTCCCGCCCGCTTGGGTGCCCCTGAGGATTCGGAACCAGTGCCCAGACAGGCTGGCCTGGGTGATGTTATGTGCAGAAAGAGGGCGGTGGGGCAAATTGGGCCACATCTTAGATTCTTAAGCACTTAAGGCGCAAATCAAAATTGCTCCTGGATAGTAAAAAATTACAGATTCACAATAAAACATATTCAGACAGATCACTAAATGGATCACAGTGTTGGATGAGTATACGTAGACTTGAGAGAGAGAAAATAAAAATACAGATAGTTATAGATTAAGAGAAATAAAGAAAAATAAGCCATGTAAAAATGGAAAATTCACACAGAGTCTGGATTCTTTGTATTATTGTGTTTTCTTTAAAATTTTTGACTGTGAAGGAGCTAAGTACAGAGAGACATTTCATTTTATGGGCTGCTAAGCTGAACCTGCACATATGTTCTAAAGGTATCTTGACTCCAGAATTTGGATCTAAGGTTATGATGCTTTGGAAAAGTCCTTCTTTTGTTTTCACAAAGGATGAGACCCTGTGGATTTCTTCTCTCCCAATATGGTATGATAGACCATGCCCTCCTGAAAGGTTGCTGTGAACACCCTCAAAAAATTACTTCACTCAACTGCCAATTGAGATGAAACTAGCACACAGGTTATACCATAAAAGACCTAATTAACGATCCCTCCATTCAGCAGAAAGCAGTTTAGAGAGAAAAAACTGCGCCCATGTTCCCAAATATTGTTTATAAATGTTCTTTTACATTTAAAGGGGGATATGATATAGATATGAATAATTTACATTGGTATGGATTTTAAGGTCAGTTTTGTTATATGTATATGCATATTTCTAATCTTGATTAAGGTATTGTGACAATTAGGAAACATAGGTTACTAATGGATAATTATCGATAATAGTAAAGCTTGTAGTCATGTTAGTTAGATTTTCTAGATATATAGAGATACATTTCAGTTAGATAGACATTCTTCATATCTTTCAAAGACTACAGAACATGGCGTTTTAAATGTTTTAATAACTTAGGGCTTTTCATGACATGTCTGCTCCTGGCAGCACCAGCTACTTTAAGAGGAAGATGGACATCAAAGAGGATCCTTATGGAGCTTGATAGCCATTTGGGCAAGAAACTGCTCTTGCCTGGACTGATGCATAAACTGGACACAAAGAACCCGCAGAGAGAGGACTGCTAAACTTGCCTAAAGGTGAGATGGTCTTTTGGGGTTCCTGCTTCATGAAAGAGTCTGTGAGACGTTCCGCAGGACACAGCAGAAAATGACTAAACTGTCTTTGAAATTTCCTGCTTCATGGATACTATGGGCCTGAAGGCCAAAGATGGATGCCTCAATGGTACAGAGGAACTTTGGATGATTGTCCAAGCAGCGAGATGTCTCTGTCATTTCAAGAGTTTTGGACTTCTTGTTTGCTTAGGAAATATTATATCCTTCTGGAGTCTTTGATGGAGTTAAAGAATGGATAGTTACAATTTTCCTTAGTTATGATAAAAGATAAAATAGATATAAATATTGTAACTATAATTATTGCTTGATAACTGTTTTTGCTGTATGTAATTTTACTATGTTAAAATGAAAGCCTTATTTTTTGTTTAAATAGAAAAAGAGGAAATGATGGAGGTGGGTGTTGTATCTTATCTGTTGCTTTCATTGGTTAAGTAATATAGAAAACTGCTTGGCCCTCTGGTAGGGTAGAATTTAGATAGGTGGAGTAAACAGAACAGAATGCTGGGAGAAAGAAGCTGAGTCAGGGAGTCGCCATGATTCTCCCACTCCAGACAGACGCAGGTTAAGATCTTCCCTGGTAAGCCAGCCCGTGGTGCTACACAGAATATTAGAAATGGGTTAGATCAATATGTAAGAGCTAGCCAATAAGAGGCTGGAACTAATGGGCCAAACAGTGTTTAAATGAATACAGTTTCTGTGTAATTTTTTCGGGTATAAAACTAGCCAGGTGGTGGGAAGCAGCCCGCCGCTCATATTACAACACTCCATGGCGTTCACACTTAGACTTCCCCCTCTTCTCTCTCACTTTGATTTTTGTAAAGGTTTATTTGTATAAACCCATAAAAATAATTTTCAGGCTGACAAGACCTGTAAAAAAAAGAGCCTTGTCTTTACCAGACACACAATGACACATATGCACATACATACAAGCATGTGAGCAAACTAAATTAATAAAATTAAACTTTTAAATAGTTAAAAAAATAATTTTCAATTTTAAATCCTATTCTTGGAGATTTTGTTTTGTTTTTTGTTGTTTATTTATGGTCTGTTTAGTTTTCTGTTTGTTTGGTTGGTTTGTTTTGTTTTTAGTATATAGCCCCCAAGCTCAGAGAAGCTCTCTGGATAGAAATCAGAGGTCATTAATCTAAATGAAGAGGAAAAAAAACTTTTCTCACAAGCCCTTGAATATAAGAACTAAACTCTTGTAAGATTGTTCATCGCTGTGGATGTCGTCAAAGGTCACCATAGGAATTTTTATTTATTTCCAGTAACCAACAGAGTAAAGTTCACAACATCTAGCATTTGATAAAAAAAAAATAAATAAAAATAAATAAAAAAAAAACAATCAGTAGTGAAATAAAACAAAACAAAAAATCAGCTGACAAAATGGCTTGGTGATTAAAAGTCTTCTGACAGCCGAGTGCAGTCGCCAACTCTGGCGGCAGACTCTGGCACGTGGTCCTCTGACCTCCACCTATACCCTGTGGCATGTGCATGCATAGATGTGCGTGTATATACACACACACACACATTTTACTAATGTAAAAACACTGACTTTATGTGAGAATACCCAGTAGAAAATCTTTATGACTTTAATATTTCCTAGATTACCAAAAACATACTGATTAGAATAAATCAGACTTTATTCGTGAAGAACATTTCCTTTTATAAAGCAGATTTAAGTAACAGGATAAACCATAAACTGGAAGTATTTATAAACCAATTATCTTCTATAGAACTTGAACTCTTGAATTAAAAACATTAAATTAAAATTAAAAGCATTAAAAAAATAAATAAACAGCACCATCCCCAGGACAAAGTGAGGGAAAGAGGAAACAGTGAGGACCAGAGCCAGTGTGAGCTGCGGGATGAGGAGCTGATGGCAACCAGAGGCTGAAGAGACTTGGCTGGCCAAGGTGGGGGTCCTTCCATGGAAGTTGTATTATCTATGTAATTGTGTTAATAGACTCACCAATAACAGGCTACTTCTAAACTCCCAAAATACACACACATGTGCAATTGGTGATAAGTAAATTACAGATGTCTGTGTAACTGGCTATTTGCAAATTATAACTCAATAAAATTCAAGATGAAATTTAACTTTATCAGACTTGTTTGTGTTTCTAAAGAAAATACCTACTTCATATTTTTACATCAGATTATCTTAAGACATTCTATAATCCGTAATATATTAGATATGACATTATTTGTGACTTTTCAGGGATTTTTCATTTTGATTTTGTCTTACTTTATTCTTTTCTATCTACTTAACTCTTTTTAAGCAATACTTTTTAAAAAAAAAAAAACCTGCATTTTTTTTTTAAATCCTAGAGGAAAAATAAAATCCACCTTTTAAAACTGTGCCTCAAAACTGCGTATGGGGGCATGGAACTGAATGCTGGGATCACAAAAATTGTTTTAAAATGACAACAGTAAAACGTTTCTGAAAGCATGACAGCTAACTTTGAACTCAATATCAAACACGCAATGGGCTCACAGCTTTCCTGGCCATCTCACCTGTACTGCATGGGGCTCCATCACTCCAGTCTTGGCTCTGAGCACACAGCCCAAGCCCCTTGCAGTGTGCATGCCCTCACACCATGTCACACAACCACACTGGAACACTTCCCAGGCTGACCTCCTGCACTTTCTCTGCAGGCTTCCTGCCTAACCCTTGTCCTCGCTTAGAGCGTTGAATTTAGTCTGACAAGATTAAGGAAAATTGATTCTGTTATTTCTTGTGATTCTTAGCTACATGACATGTGATCTAATATTTGCTTTCTCTTTTTTATTTTGCTTTTTGTGTTGTCCTGCATGTATGTTTGTTCGCCACATGTGTGTAGTGCCTGAGGAGGTCAGAGGAGGGCACCAGATCCCGTGGATCTGGAGTTACAGGTGGTTATGTGGGTCCTAGGAATCAAATCATGGTTCTCAACCATTGAGCCACCTCTCCAGGCCCAGTTTGTACTTTCTTAGTGATAACAACTGAGTGGAATTCCAAAAGCTGACATTGTATAAATCATCACTTTGATGTAAGATTCCTTTATGTATGAGACTCATCATTGGTAATAAAACTGATAAATTTTTCTAAGAAAAATACAACTGTACACTGCCATCTGTTCTACTTGCTAGGTTCCAGTGTGCTTCTCTTTGTCCTGCCTTACTTCTCTGGGTTCCATTATATCCTCAGACTGATATTGTTCTTAATCAACTTGTTTTATTTATAGACAATTCTTCCTGAAGTTTCACTATTAAAAATACCTAAATTAAACAAGTCTGAATGGCCTTTTTGTTGTGGGCACACTGGCTTCTGTCCTAATTGGGTCTGTTTACCCAACGTTTTCTATCATCTTTGCGAAATTAGTCGCTGTCAGTAACACTCACCTGTTTATGCTTTAACAACTCAAGCATCGTCAGAGAACAGAGCTGAGCACAGTGATCTGCAAAGGGGGACACAGAGCTTACAGTGGTCATCCCTAGGACAGGATCCATGGTGGAAGGGCCGCAGCTGTGCCTGAGAGATGGGCCATAGCTGGCTCACTCTGTCCAGCTGGGTGCTGCTGCCTGGGTGAGCTGTAAAGAAATTGTTTTGTTTACTAATTCTGACTGCAGTGTTGTATCAGCATTCCTAAACACTGAAGCAAGAAAAGACAGAGACAGCTTCTCTCTTTCCAACCTGTCCAAACAATGACAAATTTTTATTACCAGCCAGCTCAGAAATAGGGAATGTAAGTTTGGGATTGTGCCAAAGCCCCAGAAGAGTGAACTTGTTGAGGAAGTCACTAGACCCTACACTGTTTTAGCAGCCTGTGCACAGCTGTCTTCCACAGCAATGTGTGTGTCTAATACCTAACTTTGTGAGCAACTTTTAGGAGCACATACAAAGGTCTCACTTTTTGATGAATATTAAGAAATATGAGTTACTAGACGTTATTAGAAATAATAATTTAAACTGCTGACCTCACTGAAAAATATTATAGGGTCAGAACGCTGTCTGAGCAGGTACAGATCTGACAACCTGAGTCTCATTCCCTCATTAAAAACCAAATGCAGTACACATCTGTAACCCAGCACTCTATGACAAGAACTGAGGCAAAGACAGGAAGCTAGTGGATGGGTGGACTAGAGTGTGTATTACAGAAACAGAGAAGGTGCCCTGCCTCAATAAGGCAGAAGGCAAGAACCCGCTACCACAGTTGCCCTCAGGCCTATACACAAGTGCTCCAGTTCACACACACATACCCAAAGCAGGGAGGGAGAAAAGGAGGAAGGAAGGGAGGGATGGAAGAAAAATTCAAATAATAATAAAAAGGAAAAAATATTATGATAGTAGAAGACTCATTGGTTTGATACATTTACAAAGCAAAGATAGGGAAATTAAAAGTAAATTAGTTTTATCATGTATATTAAAAGTAAACAGAGTAGTTTTTTGGCCCAGAAATGCATAGTTTTTTCCGTGTGTTGCAATTTCTGTGGGAAATGCTGACGTCTGTGGACATGTTATGCTTTCTGTTTGCACTTTCCTCCAAGCTTCTGATGGAAACTCTGCTCCTTCTCAGATGTTTGAAAACGACAACAAAACCACATTAAAACATGATGCGGAACTTACTCCATGCTCCTGATCATCCTGGGCTCTGCTGCTCTTGGTGAACCTGATGCAGGTAAACTTTTAACTGACTCACCAGCCCTGGGCAGGATTCCTTGTTTACATGGTCTTCTCTTCTCAGCTGAAAATAAACTGAGGGGGCTAGAGAGATGGCTCAGTGGTTAAGAGCACCACCTGCTCTTCCAAAGGTCCTGAGTTCAATTCCCAGCAACCACATGGTGGCTCACAACCATCTGTAATGAGATCTGGTGCCCTCTTCTGGCCTGCAGAAAAGCACTGAGGATACTGTATATGTAATAAATAAATAAATCTTAAAAAAAAAACTGATTGATACAAAGAGAGTTAAGAATAACTGAAGAACTTTTTGTTTGTTTCCTAGGGGTTGTTTTATGGCCAAGAAGAGGGAAATTTAGCCGTGAGATTAAGACATTTGGCATTTCAAGCCATGTTGTATCAGGTCTATTGTATGTCTACTGGAATTTTTTTCTTTTAATCGAGATTTGTTGTCAATGCTAACCTTTAGTTCTTTCTCATTTCTTGATATAGTTTCTCTATCAGATCATTGAAGAGCATAAATTTTTGTTTTTATTCTAAGTAGCTAAAATCTGTCATCAGAATTCTTATAAACATATTCTTCTATTAAAAGCATGTACAGGGACTGGAAAAACAGTTCAGCAATTAAGAATGCATACTGTTCTTGCAGTAGACCAGATCCGAGAATCCACATCAGATAGCTTACAACTCCTTATAATTCTGATTCCAGGGAATTCTGATTCTGATCACAGATGTGATCATTTGTTGTTTCTGGAGGAGCCACACTCATGTGCACACACATACACATGCACATAATTTTCTTTAAAAATTCCCAAAGCAAAGCACATTCAAATTGAAACTAAAACAAAGATTTCAGGTCTATTAGTATTCATCTCATTCGATTTCCGTTTGTTTGTTTGTTTGGTTGGTTGGTTGGTTGGTTGGTTGGTTGGTTGGTTGGTTTTTCGAGACAGGGTTTCGCTGTAGCTTTGGAGCTTGTTTTGGAACTAGCTCTTGTAGACCAGGCTGGCCTCGAACTCACAGAGATCCATCTGTCTCATCCTGCCCAGTACTGGGATTAAAGGTGTGCACCACCACCACCCAGCTTCTCTTTAACATACCACTTTGTGTTAGGAGATAAGAAAGAAAGAGCACAAATTAAAAGTTACAAGAAACTTGAGGCCCTCAGAAGAGCAGGGCAGGAGTCAGCCATTCCCTTAGGTCTCCATGGGCAGGTGAGGGTTTTCCTGCTCCACAGGGTCTCTCAGCTGTTGGGGAGAAAGTCCTCACCTCAGACAGCATCCATGTGCTTGGCAGGTCAGACCGCTGCCCGTGAGCAGTCTCTCTCAGAAATGGCTAAACTAGGCCGGTCAAGTTCTAATCTCCCACGAGCAGCTACAGTGGACCGGGCTCCGCCACGAGCTGGTGGAAAAGCTTCTGTCTGTCACTTGCTTTCCAGAAATGGAGTTACTGTCATTCCAGGGGAGTTGTCAAAAGTAGTTTTTACATCTTCTTAGCAGTCTGGGGCTGCCACAAGAAGAAATCCCACGCTCCTCGCTCCTCGATCCTCGCTTCTCACACTAAGGCACTGAGCCCCCAGCAGGGAGGGCCATCACACACACTGTGCAGGAAGGTCCTGGCTCAGAGCTTTGTCTACATTTGAATCGGCCTCCAATCTAAAACAATTAAAAATAGATCTAACCCCTGCATGTAACTCTTAATAAATTTATATTTCTTTACTTACTAACACATTATGTCTCCACCTCGGATCTTAATCAAGGTGAGACTGTAATTAACTAACACTATATTTTGCAATTACTGACTTACAGTTTTCATTTTCCCCAGTTGAAGTATATTTGTTTTCATAGAGTTTTTAGCTGTTTCTTGAATATCTTGATATTTCACAAGACAAATGTAGATTTTTATGTTTTCTCGGTGTCATGGAATATTTTTAAATATGTAGTTTATTTGTACTTATTAGTATGCATGTGTGTCTGTAAGGGTGTGTGTAACTATTAAGTATGTGTGTCTGAAAGGGTGTGTGAAACTGTTAGTGTGCATGTGTGTCTCTAAGGGTGTGTGTACCTGTTAGTGTGCATGTGTGTTTGTACGGGTGTGTGTAACTATTAGTGTGCATATATGTCTCTAAGGGTGTGTGTACCTGTTAGTGTGCATGTGTATTTGTAAGGGTGTGTGTAACTATTAGTGTGCATGTGTATTTGTAAGGGTGTGTGCAACTGTTAGTGTGCATGTGTGTCTGTAAGGGTGTGTGTAACTGTTAGTGTGCATGTGTGTCTGTAAGGGTGTGTGTAACTGTTAGTGTGCATGTGTGTCTGTAAGGGTGTGTGTAAATGTTAGTGTGCATGTGTGTCTGTAAGGGTGTGTGTAACTGTTAGTGTGCATGTGTATCTGTAAGGGTGTGTGTAACTGTTAGTGTGCATGTGTGTCTGTAAGGGTGTGTGTGACTGTTAGTGTGCATGTGTGTCTCTAAGGGTGTGTATGACTGTTAGTGTGCATGTGTGTCTGTAAGGGTGTGTGTAACTATTAGTGTGCATGTATGTCTGTAAGGGTGTGTGTAACTATTAGTGTGCATGTGTGTCTGTAAGGGTGTGTGTAACTGTTAGTGTGCATGTTTGTCTGTAAGGGTGTGTGTAACTGTTAGTGTGCATGTGTGTCTGTAAGGGTGTGTGTAACTGTTAGTGTGCATGTGTGTCTGTAAGGGTGTGTGTAACTGTTAGTGTGCATGTGTGTCTGTAAGGGTGTGTGTGACTGTTAGTGTGCATGTGTGTCTGTAAGGGTGTGTGTAAATGTTAGTGTGCATGTGTGTCTGTAAGGGAATGTACAAGTGGATGCAGGTGACAGAGGCCAGAGGCTTAGGGCTCCTAGAACTGGAGTGAGAGGCTGTTGGACTGCCTGGCTTGCGTGCTGGAAACCTAACTCGGATCCCATGAAAGAGTAATAAGTGCTCTTAACCACTGAGCCATCTCTTCAGACCCTCTTCACAATATTTTAACATGAAGAATGTCAGATCCTGAAGCACTGTAACCTGGAGAATGCTGTCAGACCTTCTGGTGGTCTGGCACGAAGCAGCGTGGACCCTTTAGCATTAACCATGCGAAGGCCACGAGCACAGCAGCACTCTTCAGGAGGACTTGCTGTGCCACACACTGTCAGTGCTGCCCTCGGAAAGCACACCACAAGGACAAAGAAGCCATGTGCTGCTTAGCCATCGTTACTCAGCCCCCTCCGTCTCTCCATGTTTTCTCTTTCTCACAATGTCCTTCAGCATCCTTCTGGCTTCTTATATTCGCATTTTTTTTTTTTTGATGGAGGAGCTGGTATAGGCACAACATTTTTACCTTTTTTTCTTTCTTTTTTTTTTTTTTTTTGTAAGTGCCTTCGTGGCATTGCTGATTTTCCCTAACTTGCATTGCCTGGGTTTCTGTGCTAAGACAGAACTTTGAAACCTGACAAAGCGTGCTGAGGCCTGCAACTCCTTTTTATGACCATTTTGGAATCTCACTGAAGTAGACATGTTTATAGAATCGGGCGTGGCTTTCTGTAGGTATACAATCTATCTTTTATGTGATTACTCAAGAGCCTTTCAGCTGAAAAATTATTCTGATTGTTCCTAACTTCCACTATAGAAAATATTGATCCTTCTATTTTTCAGTGGTCAGTAATTGATCTACAGAGCTGTGGGGGTTTGAAGTTTTGTGGGGGATTTTTGTTGTTGTCTAAGGGGGTTGCTTTGTTTTCTGTTTTGGGGTTTTTTTATTTCTTTTGTAAATTGGATTGTTTAGGAATTCTTGATAAAAATGAGCCTTTCAGCCATCAGCTAATAGCATTGAAGACAGTCATTTAGATGTCTCCAGAAGCCTGAAGCTTCTTCCAAAAGGTGTGGTAACAAATCCCAAAGCTTAAGAAGCAAGAAATAAAACACAACCAAGAACATGTCAGATGAGAGGCAGAAAAAAATAACACAGCTTCTTAAGAACTGATGCTCAAAACCTGGGGCTGGCACTTGCCAGCTGTGTGCTATTGGCCTAGCCCTTCCTTCCCTCACTATATCCATTTTCCAATCTACAAAATGTGGGTTACATAGTACCTCATGTGGCTGTGTAGTACAAATTCTAATTTGTATTAGTAACAAAAACCCAGAGCCAGATATAGGGGTTAATGCTGAAGATCAGAGAAAGAGAGAGGTGGCTCACTGGAGAGTTCTTACTTCTACCAATCATCAGACCAAAGGGGAAATCCTGTCCTCAGACTGCCTCCTCAGACTTACTGCCTAGACTGCATTGCTCCTCAGACTGCATTGAGCTTGTGTCTCTTCCCGACTTATATTCCTCTCTCCGCCCAGTCTTATCACTCTTGCCTCCACCTTCTTAGTGCTGGGATTAAAGGCATGTAATCCCTAGTGCTGGGATCACCTTTGTGTGAGATCTGTTTCTCTTTCAGACTGGATCAATTTCGTGGAAGCCAGGGTAGCCTTGAACTAACATGGATCTGTCGAATACTGAGATTAAAGGTATGTGCCACCACTGTCTGGCCTCGAGTGGCTTAGCTCTGCACTCTGATCTTCAGGCAAGCTTCATTTGTTAGAACACAAACAAAATCTTACTCCAGGGCAGCTGAAACAACTACAGAAAAGAATACACGCCACAGTCTCCTTGGAGTGTGATTGTATTCTTGTTTCTAGTAATATCATTAATAGGAAAACGTATGTCAAAATTCCTGATAGCCTCTATTTATACTTATTTTATCTCTGGGAGGACAAAAAGTAAGCCAGTTTTCACTCAATGCCAGCTAAATTCCAGAAAATCTGCTAAATATTTTGGCATAGATTGCATACACAAGAAGACAAATCCTTACATGCAGAAAAGCAGTTTGAACATACTGTTGATTGGACAAGTAGCTGAGACTGTTAATTCTGCAGTATAGTAAGTTACTACAGAATCTGAAACATAAGATTCTGGCCAGTGATCCAGACTGACAGTTCCGTCGGTTCCAGGGCTGTTTCCACACTGCAGCTGTCAGGCTTGAGAGTTTGCCTCTTGCCGCGGTGCTTCGCTCACAGACAATAGTCACCAAAGACACCTGAGAACCCTTTGAGAAAAGTAGAGTGGCTCCAGAACACAGTTACACCCACCCAACTCTTGTCGCCTTTCTCCACAGATCATTCTTCTAGCACACGGCACAATTCCTGCACAGCCTGCTTCTCTTTTATTTTGGTTTCCTTGACAGCACTGGGTAACCTGGCTGGGTTGTATAAAACCAAAAGTTTTTTCTTTCTTTCTTTACCTTTCTTTTCTTTTTAATTTTTTTTTCATTTTTTCTTTTTTTTTTTTTTTGTTCTAAGGAAGCATATTTGTCAGCATCTCCACAGGTCTTTAATTCATAAGACTCTGCATCAGCGGGAGGCAACGCTTAGTGAAAGGAAACATTTCTTCAGGTTGAGAAGTGCTTGGAAGCGCCCTCTCTATTCGTCGCTGAGATAAAATCAATTCTTACCTTGTTCTTTGATTGCTTGTGTTTCTTTCCTGTCTTTTTCAGACTCCACGCTTCTAGGCAGCAGTTTTTCAACCTTCCAATTCTTGTTTCATGGTAGCTAAGGCTTACCAAACTGAGGGAGTAATGGAAAGTGCCCAGTGAGATCGTACCTCAGTCCTAAAGGAAAAAGAGAGAGTAGGTGTTGCTGTTGGTTTAATCACTGATCAGTTTAGGAAAAAAGAACTGAAGATGTTTCTAAGTTGTACTGAACATGACTCTGCAAATAGAATGCTGTAACTATAGGGCTCATTGCTAATGGGCATGGAACATGCATTGAGCATTGATCCCCAATACCAAAAACCTAAATCAATGACTAATCTGTTCCTCACAAAGTTCCTGTGGAGTAAAACTGCCGATCTCTATAGCAGCAAATAACCATTTCAAACAGTAATCTTCCTACGTCTCTAATTCTACATTCTACATACTGTAATATGGTAATGCATCAGTGATTCAGCCTTACATTCTTCAGTCTATACAAAACATAATGCTTTATGAACAAGATGCAGAAGTCAGTTGATCCGTGGTGCTTACGGGAAAGTGAGAGGCAACTATGTTCTTTCCAACTGGACAGAAAAATCACAAATGTGAGAAGAATGTTTTCCTAAGCATGTGTCAATTCCCCCTCTCTCTAGGATAAGGCCTGGTATGATGATAGCGAAAACATCATGGGAGCCTTGACCACAACCTTAGCCGTGGATGTAGCACAGATTCAGGGGGTATGTGGATTGTGATTCTTAAATTTTTTTATTACATTTGTGCATTCTCTGTGTGAGTGAGCATGAGCCACAGTCCACATGTGGAGGACAGAGGACAGCTTTCTGAAGTTGATTCTGTCCACCACCAAATGAAGCCTGGGGATAAACTCAGCTCATCTGTCTTGGCAAAAGTTGTCTTTTCCAACTGAGCTTTCTTTCCAGACCTGTGGTCTTATTTGTTAAATAGCATAGTATGTGTGGTATGTATGTGTATCTATGAATGTGTGTCTGTGTCTACCTGTGTGTTATGCTGAGGTGACCTACGATTAAGGAGACCCAGAGTATCATGGCCAACGGGGAATTCTTTTTTTTTTCTTTCTTTTTTTTAGTTGTTGAAAAAAAATTTCCACCTTCTCCCCATTTCCCATTTCCCTCCCCCTCCTCCCACACATTGCCTTCTCTTCCCACCCTCCCTCTCTCCCTCCCCCCCACTCATTCCCCCTCCCTCTCGAGAATGAAGAGCAGTCCAGATTCCCTGCCCTGCAGGAAGTCCAAGGTCCTCCCACTTCTATCCAGGTCCAGGAGGGTGAGCATCCAAACAGGCTAGGCTCCCACAAAGCCAGTTCATGCATTAGGATCGAAACCTAGTGCCATTGTCTTTGGCTTCTCATCAGCCTTCATTGTCCGCCATGTTCAGAAAGTTCAGTTTCATTCCATGCTTATTCAGTCCCAGTCCCGCTGACCTTGGTGAGCTCCCAATAAATCAGTTCCACTGTCACAGTGGATGGGTGCACCCCTCGTGGTCCTGACTTCCTTGCTCACGTTCTTCCTCCTTCTGCTCCTCATTTGGATCTTAAGAGCTCAGTCCGGTGCTCCTATTTGGGTCTCTGTCTCAATCTCGATCCATCGCCAGATGAAGGTTCTAAGGTAATATGCAAGATATTCATCAGTATGGCTATAGGATAGGGTCATTTCAGATTCCCTCTCCTCAGTTGCCCAAGGTACTATCTGGGGACATCTCCCTGGACACCTGCGAGCCCCTCTAGAGTCAAGTCTCTTGCCAACCCTAAGGTGGCTCCCTTAATTAGGATATTTATTTCTCTGCTCCCATGTCCACCCTTCCTTTATCCCAAACATCCCATTCCCCCAAGCTCCCCCAATCCTCCCCTTCTCATGTTTCTCACCCCAATTCCCCTTATCCTCATGCCACCACACCCCCAAGTTCCCAGTTTTTGCCCGGCAATCTTGTCTACTTCCCATATCCAGGCGGATGAGGTTGTGGAGTAAGGGGCACACTCATCCATTTCTGGTGGGAATGCAAACTTGTGCAAACACTTTGGAAATCAGTGTGGCGATTTCTCAGAAAATTTGGGATCAACCTACCCCAAGATCCAATAATACCACTCTTCGGAATATACCCAAGAGATGCCCTATCATATGACAAAAGCATCTGTTCAACTATGTTCATAGCAGCATTATTTGTAATAGCCAGAACCTGGAAACAACCTAGATGCCCTTCAATGGAAGAATGGATGAAGAAAGTGTGGAATATATGCATATTAGAGTACTACTCAGTGGTAAAAAAACAATGACTTTGCGAATTTTACATGCAAATGGATGGAAATAGAAAACACTATCCTGAGTGAGGTATCCCAGACCCAAAAAGATGAACATGTGAAGTACTCACTCATAATTGGTTTCTAGCTATAAATAAAGGATATTGAGCATATAATTTGTGATCCTAGAGAAGCTAAATAAGAAGGTGAACCCAACAGGGAATTCTTAAGGAAAGACTGAAGGATATCTTTGAGATCAGGGTCCGTGTATTAGAATAAATCTAAAACTAAAAAGATTCTAAGAATTAGAATCAAGAGTTCACAAGGAAATAACAGAACAAGAAATTAGAAAGAGGAAAGAAAACACACCCTGCACAGACTGTTTCATTGCTTTGTTTTAAGACAGGGCATCATTAAGTAACCCAGGCTGGCCTTGAGCCCATGAAGTTCCATCCTGCCTCAGCCTCCAAACGCTAGAATTAAAAGCATGCACTTTGCCCAGCACCAGAAATATTAATGAAACAAAAGTTTAATTCCCATTTCCCCAGAAACTAAGACCTTACATAAAGGGATATTTAGTAATTATGATTTAGGGGTGTACTCTGTGTGAATTGTTAAGCAGATCATGTTAGACAGTATGTATAACACCAGCCTGTCATATCACAGGTAAAGAAAATGTTATTCATCATATTCAGGTCACGGAAATGGTAGCATCACACTTAGCATGATGCTCGAGTAAGTGCGGGAATTGGGTTGTTGCAGGAGGAAAAGAACAACTTGCTAAACAAGTGTGGTAGTTTATGTCTGTAATTTCAGTGCTTGAGAAACTGAAACAGGAGAATTGCTCCAAGCTACAGGCTAGCTTGTTTCACATAGTGAATTTAAGGCCAGCCTGGGCTACACGGTGACATTAGACAAAGAGATGATGATGATGATGATGATGATGATGATGATGATGATGATGATAGATAGATAGATAGATGATAGATAGATAGACAGATAGATGATAGATGATAGAATAAATACCATTTTTCAAATTATTTTAATAAAATTAACCTTTATAAAACAAATAAAATTTTAATATAATTGAGAAAATGAGTACAAAGCAAATTATCACAGTCTTAATTTAAATGAGGTTGCTTTTGTTAATGCAGGTGTGTGGGTGTGTGCATGTACATGCATGCCCAGATACATTTGGCCAGTGGAGGATGTCAGGTACCCTGCTCCGTCACTCTTTCTTATTGCCCTGAGACAAGGCCTCTGACTGAAACTGGAGCTCAGCCAGTACCAGCACACGCCAGCCATCTCTTATCTCCAGCTCCTATGCACTGTGGATACAGGTGTGGTTAAGTTATATGGTTGCTAGGGACCAGAACTTAGACCTTCAAATCCACTGAGCCATCATCCCAATCCAAGATAAATGTTTAAAGCTCTGTTAGAATATGAACTCTAACAGATAATAAGGCCTCTTTGGATGAGATTTCAATTTTAAAATGGGGCTGAAGACCTTTCTGTGCAAACATATTAAGTACAGTATTTGTGTAACAGAAAACAGGGTGGTAGGTACAACCACTGCATCTGAGGTGCCAGCTGCAACCCTAGACAGAAATGCCAGTCCTGGCAAGTCCATGCAAAACCCCAGTCCACAAAAGTGGTATTTTTTCTTTACTGTGCTAATGTGCTATTTTTTCTTACTACCTTTCAAATGTTTTGAATGAAATACTTTATCAGATTTTATAATCCTTTATAAGAGAAAGAAAAAGAAAGAAAGAAAGAAAGAAAGAAAGAAAGAAAGAAAGAAAGAGAAAAGGAAAAAGAATATTACTAGATTGCTAGTGGGCCTGGAGGATTCAGCAGATAAAGGCAGTTACTACAAGTAACTGAATTCTAGTCCCAGAATCAACATGAAGATGCAAGCAGACATCTGACTCCACAGAGCTGTCTTCTGACATTTACACAAGGATGTGTATGCAAACACACACAACATACACAGACACATGCATATAAATAAAAAATAAAATTAAAAAACAGAACATTGCCCAGCTTGACCCTTTTAGTCATCTAATTAGGGCTGGTGATCAATGAAACTCCCTTATTGCAACTGAAAATATTGCCCCTACAGCAACTTCTGAACAAGTCAAAACATTCTACTTTAATCAAAATTCATTGTGATGGGACTGGAAAGATGGCTCAGATTTTAAGTTGCTCTTGTAAAGGACCTGGGTTTGGTTTCTAGCACCCACATGGTAGCTCACAACCCCCTGTAATTCCTATCCCAGAGCTCCCAATGCCCTCTGGTGGCCTCCAAGAGCACCAAGTATGCACAGACACTACATGTAGGCAAAACACCCATATACACAAAATAAAAAGAAATAGATCCTTTTCAAAAATCAATAACTATCGAAAAATGATCAGGTCCTAGACACTGTGAACTCAATGAATTTGAAAGATAAAATGAGAAAAGATGTCGAGGTGTGAGAGTGATTTGAGTTTACATAAATATTTGCTTGGCTTCATAACAGTGAGTTCACATCCACCATGATGGATACTCTTCCTAGCAGATAAGGAATGGCCTGCCCGCCTTATTTGCTCACTAATTCCTTTATCAAGAAAAGATACTAGAGATAAGTCTAGAAATAATTTCATGCCATATTTCTATCATATGAATGTAGGTAAATCATATTCCAATTTCTGTATGATGCAATTTCAGTTAAGTTTGCTATGTTTATTAGGGTGAATTTCCATAAAACAGATCCTTAATAACAAACAATATGTTTTAGTCATAAACTTTTAGCTCAAAATATATAATAGTATTATATTATATATATTATATATTATATTATATGTGTACATACAATTAGCTTTTTTGAATTGCCCAACAAATTCTTTTTTTTTCTGCTGACAAATATTCTTACTATCACTTTTAGAAGCTCTGATGCTAGCAGGGCCGTGGTGGCACACACCTTTAATCCCAGCACTCAGGAGGCAGAGGCAGGCAGATCTCTGTGAGTTCAAGGCCTGCTTGATCTACAGAGTGAGTTTCAGGACAGCCAGAGCCACACAGAGAAACTCTGTCTCGAAGAAGGAGAAGCAGAAGCAGAAGCAGAAGCTCTGGTGTTTTGAGAACAATGATCAGAACATCTTGGTGAGGTGTAGTCACACAGCAACACAGCATGACAAAATCTTTCCTAAAAGAAGTGAACACAGCCTCTTTAACTGCTATTGTTTTAGCCCCAGGTAATGGCTTTCTGCCCACATATCTATCAACATACTCCCATATAATAAGCAGTTTTAATAAAAGTATAAATCCATTTTAGTTTCTTTTGGAAGCTAGATTCTACACAATTACAAGTTATAATTATTTCTATGAATTCTAGTAACTCTGTCATCAACCATAAGTCTTACCTCAGTTTTGCACACACAAAAAAGCATGTTATTGACGCCATGGTGCACACTCTGTGCCAT